GTCCTCTTATGAGTGTCAAGGACAGCTGGGGAGATGCTTCTGTCAGAATAGTGGTTGCATTTCTTTGATTAATTTGCCCCTCATTAAATGGAGGGTGATTAATCAGGGAGTGTCCCAAGTGCAGGCTTATTTGTTAAAGTGGGATGGTGGAATGATTGTTAATATTCTTGGGGCCTTGGCTCTGGTGTGGCAGAAAATGAGTACCTATGGGTTTGCCAGGGTATTTTAGTTCTCCTAGAGAGAAGGTGGGGAAAGGCATGTGCATGGAGCAGGAGAATATTCTTGCAAATGCTGAACATACCAAAAAAACAACAAACCCCCTACGAGCCCTTGGGAGCTCAGGAACAAAGTGTCTGAGCCCCTTGGACCTAGGCAAGGCTTGAAGTTCAAATCCAAGGCAGGGGAAAGGAGTAGAGGCTACATCCCTGCACAGCCAAGCTTCTGTGGGATGATGTGAGACCCACAAGACACATGGGTGTGTTTGGGGCAGGGTGGGTGTGATGGGAGCTTGCAGGTGCTTACACTTCACTGCTGTGAAATACAGACATGTTGATGAGAGCAGCAGAAGAAAGGTTGGGAAATCAGGCACATGTCCCATGTGAATGGAGTAACTTCTCTGGGATGTCCCTAGTGCAATGCCCTAGGGGAAGGGAGCTTCTCTGTCTCTCCAGCAGTCCAAAGCAATGCACTGTCTCACAAGGCAGCAGAGAGCTGCCAAGTCAGAGCAGGTGAGCCAGTAGGTACTGAGCTAATGTCTCTGCCTCCACATTCCTCAGGGACCAGTATGTACCAACTTGGGTCTCAAGCCTGGCCAGCGCCTCATTGTCAAGGGGAAAATTTCACCAAGTGCCAAGAGGTAAGTTGTGCTGGCCAGGGCACCGCACTGAGTTGTCTTCTGCTGATGGGGGCAGAAGGAATCCCTCCCTTGGGTGGGAGAGGAGCAGCTTTGGAAGGGGTTAACACCAGCAGCGCTTCCCAGTGAGTCATTGCCTAATGCACATTGCAGACACACTCTACTGCCAAGGGGCTAAGCCAAAGCAGATGTGAAGCTCCAGCTGCATGCACTGGCGGTGACCACATCCTCTCCAGTGCAGGGTAAAGGAAATGGAAGCCATGTCTATACTGAGATTTATGTTGATACAATCCCCACAGCCACATCCTCTCCCCTGCATGAAAATGGCCCAGAAGAAAGGATGCCATTACAGTGCCTTGCTTCACTGTGCAGGAGAAGATTATAGCCCAAGCAGCTGGAAGGTCTTAGATGCTCTGGGCCACAGCTCCAGCTGATGGTGCAAGCAGAAAGGCTGCATGTTGCAGCAACAGGTCTCAGGCTGTTGAAGTTTGCTTTCACCCAGTGGAAATGCCTTTAAGGTGCTGTGAGGAAGGTGGGGAGTGGGCAGGTGGGAGTAAGTAAAATATCCTCCTAATTTTGCAGGGATAAAGGTATCTGGGGCCCACAGGGAAGCTTTTGCAGTAGCCCCCAGACCTTGTGGAGGTCTGTTGCTGGGGGGCCTATTGGTGGGTAAGGTGGAGTCTGTAGCTGCTGTACCAGCACTAGCTGTGTTCCAGGAAACAGGTCCCAGCTCTTCCCAGTGCCTTTGAAGTTTGATAGTATCAGAGTGAAGGCTCCTGGGCTTTCTCTTGCCAAATAATATGCCTCTTCTCATCTGGGTAAGGGGCCTGGAGGCAAGGTGGACACTGGGTTAGGAAGCTGCTTTTTTTCCACTGCCATAGCACATGCTTTGGGATAGCTAATGACATGGTAATTATTTCAGCTGCCTGCAGGGTGGGGAGAAGGCAGTGGCTGTCAGGCAAGGTGCAGCACCAGCTAACTGTCTGGGGCTGAAAGGAAATCTGCAAAAAGCAACTGACTCCTTGGGAGCTGATTGGGGTGCAGGATAACTCCCAGGGATGAACTTTTCTCTTCTTAAAAGCTTTGTGGAAACTAAGCAGTGTCTCTCCCAGTGATGGCACTCTGGGGCTGATCACCCAAGCAGAGGAGAGTACCCCTTAGTGATGTAGCACCATCTTTTTAGGGAAGCTGTGCAGTTTAGCAAAGGTTTTCTCTTTGGTTACCCTCAGCCGGGCTTGAAGCAACAGACCCAGAGATGTACATGGTAACGAGCAACATGCTTCCACAGTATTGACTAAAACAGCATTGATGGCTTTCTCTGCAGCTTTGTGTTGAATCTTGGGAAGGATGCTTCTCACCTTGGGCTTCACTTCAACCCTCGTTTTGATGCTCATGGTGATGTGAACACCATCGTGTGCAACTCAAAGAAGGTGGATGAGTGGGGTGCAGAGCACAGGGAGACTGTCTTCCCTTTCCAGAAAGGGGGTACAGCAGAGGTGAGACCTGGGGGATACTCTGTGCCTGCCCTGGTGAAGGGAGGGTGTTTGGCACAGGGCACCCAACTGCAAGGGCTTTCTCTGGACTGTCTGCACAGGAGGTGGCTGGCTTCTCCTGCTTGGCCAGTGCCACCATACAAGGCTGTGAGCAGTGGTGGAGGATGAGGATCAAATATGCAAGCTCCAGCTAGCTCAAAGGGATATTACTATTGAACTGAGCAGGGCATAGGCACTTCTTGGTAGACCAGAACAACACTCCTGCTGTTGAAGAGCAGGTTATGCTGCTGAGCATGTTCACCCTGCAAAGCAGAGGGTGGCACAGCAATGCAATGGAGGGGAAAGGCTTGAGGGTATCTTGGCAGAAACTTTATTTGACTTTTCCATTTGTCTTGCAGATTGCTTTCAATGTCAACCAAAATGATCTGACAGTCCACATACCAGGCCACCAGTTCACGTTCCCTAACCGGCTTGGTCTTGCTGTCTTTGACTACTTTGATACACAAGGGGACTTCACAGTCCAGTCCATCAGCTGGGAATAACTTCCTCTGACACTTCCATCTCAAAAGACAGAGAAAAAACAATCAATAAAGGAGTTTTGGTCTATCCAGTCTCAAAGTCTGATCTGTTTCATACTGCAAGTCCACATGGGTTGGTCATCTTGCTGGGGGGCTGGGAGGAGGAAGGTAGCCAACTTTGCTGGAGTACCATGTGTAGGTGGCACTGTGCCAGCCTTGACCCTTAAAGTCATGCATGGAGAGAAGGGTGAGGGGCAAAAGCCTGGGAAGGCAGAAGGTGAAAAGCCCAAGGAGAGTCTCAGGAGGCAACATTGGGGCTAGATGTGACTAGAGGGGAGAGTGGGTGAAGTCCTGCTCTTGAGGTCTAGACTGACACCTTACCCTGCCTAAGTAAATCTATCTGTCCCTAAACTAAGCATTTCTGGCTAGCCTCAGACAGCCTTGAGTTGCGGTGCTAGGTAAACCTAGTGGGGCAGGGAGTGAGGGGAAAGTCCTCAGCTGTGCTAGCTTTGGCTTGCACCCCTCTGTAGAGGCTAGTCCTACTTGTGATACCTCACCAGTGTCTTCTTGGGACTTCTCACTGCTGCATGGGGACAGCAGTAGAGAAGGATGCCTTGCTGGGTGTGGTGGAGCATGCAGCAGGCCCCTCATCCAAATCCTTTCTTCCAGTAACTGTAGAAGCATCAATACTGTTGGGCCATAGCTCATGTCACACATGAGGGTAGTAACCTGGAGCAGTCTGGCTTTATTCTGCCTCATCTGCCTTGCCTGGTCCATCCAGAGCTGGGAGTGGTAGCAAGACCTAGCTGAGGTAGGAGATGGTATGGATGTGTCTCCTGTGTTACCCCTTTGCTCATATTAGCCCAAATGATCCTGGGTACTTCTCAGTATAGTTTGAGGCTAGCTTCTGAGGAGACTAAAGATGATGAGGTATATTGGATGTTACAGCACAGTTCTCACTGGGTGTGGGTTCTTACCCAAGGTGTCAGCCAGCAGCTGCTTTGGGGGCTCTGCCAGTCTAATGCTACTTTGGCAGCAATGAATACTGCTGTTAGACAGGCTGTGCCTGGTGGGCATAGGAAAGGTGGAAGCTCTCATTTCCCCAGTGCATAGCACTTACCAGGTAGGCCTGAGATGGAAGGACCCAATCTTTGTGTCTTCACTTCCAGGCTTGGCCATGAGTAACACAAAACATGAACAAATTTATGTCCTACAAGGACTCCCTGCAGGCCTGGCCAGGCCAGTTCCTCACATTAAGCAGTTCCAGAGCAGCTGGAGCACAGGAACTTGCTCCTAGGGCAGCAGCACCTCCTGTTCTTGCTCCATAATTCATGATGCTCTGCTAGGTACTGTGTACCAGGTATCCATGAAGAGAGATGCTTGGCTGCTAGGAATGAAAAAAGAGATGAGTTGGAGACAAGGGCTCAAGATGGGCTTTTGAGCTGGAAGGCAGGAACCCTTAGGGCATACAAGCGAATTGGGGCTCTGCAGCTGGATCTCTCTTGAAGCCCCGTGTTGCCCAAAGGCAGTCTGCTCTGGACGATTACAACCTGTTCTTTAGGGCTGCATCTATAATAGTAAACACAACATCCAACATTGCCACCCCGTGCATAGGCATGGCTGGGGGACAGCATAGCCTGGGGACTCTTCCCATGGTGTGATACGGATGACGCCTTACCACAAGAGGAGGAACCTTATTCAGGTCTCCTGCTAGTGTGGCTACTTTAAGTGACTCACTGGTCCTGTGAAATCTGTGACTCACTGTTGTCCTGACTTTGTTATGGCTTGGCCTGTTGCTAGCGAGCAGGTGAGGGGCGGCGAGGGCTCCTCGGCTGTGTAATTTAGACGTATCTAGGTTGACTGCTCCCTTCCACCCACTCCCCAGCCTTGCGCAAGGTGGAGGCCAGTATGCGATGGCTGAAGGACCCAAGGATGGAGTCAGGATCCTCAAGACAAGTGTCCTCCCCCTAGCCGAGGAGGGCGAGCAGCCTTGCAAAGGGGAAGAAGGCATGACGGGGAAAGCACCACAACAATGACGATGGAAGACATTGCACGCCAACATGGAAGGTGATGCACTTTTATTTATTGACTTGACCCCAGCCAAAGGTTGGGAGAGGTTCCCAACCTGGGGCGCTCTCACCCCTCACTTTCCCGCACAGACCCTGATGGCTCCCTGGAAGGCAGGGAGATGTCATGGCCTCCCACTGGGTCCCCTGCAGCCTCCCGGGAGGGTGCTAGGGGCCATGTTGTCCCCATCCTGCTGCAGCCAGAGCGCCGGCGGTAGCTGCCAGCGAGCAGGGTGTAGAGGAAGGGGTTGATGCAGCTGTTGCTGTAAGCCAGGCAGGTGACGCCAAAGTTGAGGTAGGCCTGGGCAGCAGGGCTGATGCCCAGCCCCTCACCCCAGTACAGCCCAGCCAGCTGCCAGGCCCAGAAGGGGAGGAAGCAGGCCCAGTAGGCCACCATGATGGTGGAGATCCTGGAGAAGAGCTGCCCCGCCCAGCCACCGGCAGCCCTGGGCCCCAGGCGGAGGACCGGTACACCTGGGCCAGGCGGGCATAGACAACACCCAGCACTATGCCAGGTGCGAGGACGCTGGTGGCAAAGAGCACTGTCAGGTATAGCCGGAAGGCCACCGGTGTCCAAGTAGGGATGCAGATGCGCTTGTGGAGGCCACCCTGCTCCCGCAGCTGGGTCATCACCATCATGGGGGCTGTAAGCAGGAGTGCGAGGAGCCAGAGGATGGCACTGGCCAGCTTGCGATAAGCATTGCCAGCCCGCCTGGCCCTCAGCGGCTTGGCCACTGCCCAGTACCTCTCCAGGCTCATGGCGGTCAGAAGGAAGATGCTGGCATGCATGGTGAGGAGGTCCAGGCTGAGCAAAAGCCTGCAGCCCACGTCCCCGAAGAACCAGTCATGGGCGAAGTAGGTGCAGACCACAAAGGGGATGGTGGAGAGGTACAGGAGGTCAGCCAGAGCGAGGTTGATGACATAAACACCCAAGGAGCCTGCTGAGCGGCCTGCCACCCTGCCAGAGGCCACCACCACTGTGTAGATGTTTCCTGCCATCCCAATCAGGCACATGACCAGCAGCACTGCACCCAGCGGCCCCGTGACTGGGCTGTCCCCTCCCAGGACACTACTGCTGTCACCCCCGCCACTGCTTTCCTCTGAGAAGCTGCCACCCTTGACATCCTCTCCAGGCCTCGTGCTGATGGGGGAAGGATCACAAGACATCTTTGGGTAGGGCAAGCAAGAGCAAGTCAGGCTGTCATGGATCCGTTCCTTCCCTCTGCCTTCCTGCCTCACTGTATGGGACACGTCTAGCCTTAACACGAGAGGGAAGAATGGCGAGAGTACAGCAGACATAGGGTACTCCAGAGAAGTCTATTTCTCACCTCCAGCTGTGCAGTCCGTTTTGCTGATCTTGTCCATCACAAGCTCCAGCCAGTAGCTTTCCTTAACCACCAAAGGGCTGAGAAGGGGACACCTCCCTCCCCTTCAAGACCAATAGGTGCAAAATAACCTCTGCCAGCCAGGAGGAAATTACTCCGGTCTTCACCAGCTCCTCGCTTGTTGCTTCTGCAGCGTTCACTGGGCCCACGGAAACCAGCAGACTCAGTGGACAAGTAGATTTCTCCTTCTCCAGCATCTGTGTCCTCTCAGCTCAGAGAAACTGATGAGGTGGGCTCTGCCCCCCTGAACCAGCCCTTGGAGTGTCGCCTTGTCCAGTGCGCAGAGGAATGCGTCTGACTCATAGCTTCACACACTGGTGCAAATGCAGTCCCAGTTTATACTGGGCTTTTAGCCACTAGCTGAGGAGCCATGCTGGCTGCCTCCTCTTTCTTGCAGACACAGTCTTTCTTCCCCAGTGCCTTCTCCAGCTCCCTCTTCCTTCTTGTTCTTTTTCCCCTTTCTCTCATTTCCCCTCACACAGTTTTCCTCATTTGAAAGGGGATATAGCTGAAAGCCAGGACTCCCTGACGTGGCAGGTGGGAAAAGCTGTGGCTTTATAAGGGGAACAAGGGCCAGCCCTGAAAGTGCAACAGGCAGGGAGCTGCCACACTGCTCTCCTCGGCCCTTAGACAAGCTGGGTTGAGAGGGCCTGTCCCCAACTCCCTGCCAAGAACATCAGGACTCCTTGAGGTGTAGACAATGGATGTAGCCCCCAGTTTGCAAGGAAGCCCACTGGATGGTAGGACATCTCACATTTCCTATGACCTGGCCCTGTTCCACCCTTGTCCCCCAGTCAGCAGCAAGCTCCTAGAGACTTAAAGGGATGGATATTTTAGACCTGCTCTTTCCTCCCTCTCACCAAAGACCATCCTCCTTCTCTAAGCTTTCCCCCTCCTTCCCTGGAACCCTCAGGACCCGCTGCCTCACCCCAGAGCAGCGAGCAGAAGCCTGTTATGTAGGCACCACTGCCTTCTAGTGGGGCATCGCTGCATGACACCTATGCCCCAACACTTCTGCATCCGACGCTTCCCTGTTCTTTCTTCACCCACATTTGAGGCTCATTCGTCTCAGGGAACAGACACAGTGTGATAGAGTTTGCAGAGCAGAGACAGATGCGCCATTACTAAATGCACTCTGCTGTTAGTTCACAAGGGTTTTCAGGCCACTCCAGCCACTCTCTTTTGTATCATCAGTGTATTAGCTTCATTGTGGCCAAGTCAAATGCCCCCGCTCATCCTCAGCAGCAAACAGAAGGAAGCATCCCATCAGTACTGCCCTCACTGCAGCAGGATCCAAGCACCTTCCCGAGCAACATGCTGCATGCCACAGCAACAGCTTCAGCACGACCCTGCCACAGGAGTGGGCGTATAGCACATAAGGCATTGATGGAGGCAACTTGAGAGGCCTCCCTCTGGGTTATCTGTCAGCTCTTGCATGTCTGTGTCACCCTCTCTACTCTTCTTCCCAGAGGAGAACTGAATGTGCAGGCTGTTTAGATGACGCTTGAGCTTTTTTTTAATGAACTGACCCATTTTCATGTTACCAGAAAGGCACTCTGTTTTGAAACACAAACTTTGCAATGGCTTTTGGGTTTTAGGACAGTCATAGTCCTAACTGGGAGAGACCAGCAAACTGCAGGGAAAATATACTTTTGGGTGGAATGCTACATTGTGCCACGGCAGCAGGATGAGCGATGCTGTGTCTCATCCAGGAAGTTGATGCTCCCAACTGGTTGTGGTGGTCTCAGCACAGACAGGAGTCCTCAGAGAAGCACAGGGGGATCATGGCTTCACCCATTTCACTCTCATGGGAAAATTCACAGTCCACATGCCCCAGGAAATGCAATGAATAGCCATGGCTCCTTGCTCTGAATATCTGTGCTTTTTTCCAAGAAATTACTTCATGTCTTAGCTGTTAGCGGCTCCGCTCATTTAGGAAATTAAAATAAATTACAACGGACTTTTTTTATTAATTTCTTTAGGAGCTAATTAAAATACTGGTTGCCTCATTAATTCCAGTTAGCTCCCTGTAACACAGGAGATGCCCACTCTCACACTGCCCACATTAAACTGCAGACACATCAGATGCTAAAGTCATCAGCAGAACTCAGCTGGTCCTTCCAGCATGTGAAAGGTAGCTCTCCCAGGAGAGCCTTAAGAGCTTATTTTTAAAGATATGAATCACAGGTTGATTTAGTGGTTAGGGTTAACTTACTAGAAGGATATGAATATAGATTTCCTTGTTATACTACTGCATAAAATTATATGTATATGTGATATATAATCTATACATATGTAGTGTATAGGGAAGAATGACAGTTCCAGGCCTTTGACATACAGAGAATGAGGGAGCAGAGATCCATGTGTTGCTATCTTCAGACAGCAACCCCTAGGCTCTAGTAGAGACAACAGTGAGTCTGAACTCTGTATCAGACATGCCATAAGCTGCTCTCTGCAGGACTCAATCTCTCTGCATTGGTTTGACTACAGACTCAAATTTGACAGCTGAACTTCAGTGGCATGAATATCCCTCACAGTATCTTCCCTAGGGCAGTATTCCACCTCCCACTTTTTCTTATGTATACACACACACGTTATCTACATACACACAAGCATACACACACCAGTTTTGAGTGAATCTCTTAAATCTTCTCTGCAGGAATCAGAGGAAGGTGTCTACACAAACACGATCTGAAGAAGCTTTTGAGCCCATATACAGCAGGAGGAAACAGGTCTCACATTTGGCTGTCAGATTACAGCTTTTAAGTGACCTTTCTCAACTACAGCTCCAACTGATCAAATGTCTAGATGTTTCACATCTCTGTCCCCAGCAGAGAAGCCATTTCTTGTAAAGGAAGTCTCTCCTAGTCCAGCAGCCCCTGCAACCCACAGCAGCTGTTTTCTTGTGTAAGGTAGGTGGCTGTCTGCAGTTTCAGGCAGGAGTGATGCTAGGTCCCATGTCCACCAAAGCAAGTGCCAAGCTCTTACAGTCTGATTTACAGGCAAGGCCTGCCAGCATCCAGTCAGATCACAGCAATTTAACAGTGACAGGTTGCACTGAGGATTCAGACTCACAAAATCTTGCACTTGAAAGGAAGCAGCTTAATATGGCCCCCAGAACAAAGTGGACCATCTACAGGGGAAAATAAAAAGTGCTTCAAAAGGTGCTTCAAGAGAACTGTGTTTCTCTGATGTCCATCTCCTCTCCTCTCCTCTCCTGACAGCTCACCCAACAGGACCAGGTAGAGTCGAGTCATAGCGAGGTTCCCGTATGTCCTCCTAGGATTTAAACTTGAAGTAGGCTTCAACTGTTGTGAAGGAAAAAGGTGGTGCATTAGGGCAATATCCTGAACCAGAGTGTCAGGAGAGAAAGGAAACAGCATCCAGACACTTACTTGCGTATTCCTGTGGTGTCATGGCCTGGTTGATGACGCTAGTGAAGGCTGCAATCCAGTCCAGCTGGTCAGTCTCCGTCTCGCAGGTGAAGAGGTATTCCCGGTCAGGGGTGACAATGGTGAGGCCATAGTGCCAAGAGAAGTTGCCCTGTGTCCCCGAAGGCAATCCCTTCTGGACACTATAGCCATTCTCTCTGCTGCCCACAAATACCTCACCTTTAGCAAATG